AAGAGCTGGGGTCCCCTCACTGTAGCCGGGCTTCGGGCCCTGCGCTGTCAGGGCTCGTGGCGTCGCTCCAGCTCCAGGCTTTTGTCTCTCTGATACAGGCCGGGAGCAAGAGGGAGTGTTTGAGTTTTTTCATCTAGTTCTTAGAACTCTGTGGAATGGTTTTTAGTTACATTATTCAGTAGGCTCTAAGAACGCTAACAGTGAAAAGCGTTCACCTTGTAGGGAATGTTGTAACTCAAAGGAAATTAGCATAATTTACTAATGTTTTCAATGATGTTAATTTAAATTACTGTGTACATGGTACTTTTGGTGGGAGGGAAATTGTTATTTTTAGAAAAACATTCAATGAACCATTTTCCAGAGACAGTCTATTAATTATGTCTACTGTTGTTCATCTTGAGAGTCTGAAAATCTGTTAACCACATTTCCAGAAGCGTTAGGTAGGAGGCAGGAAGGTCTGCAAACTCTCCAGGAATTGCTGCCCTGGATTCTCATTGCGGGGATCCAGCAGCTGCCTGACTCTTCGGCAGGTGGCACAGTGGCTGAACAGAGGGGATGCGTGTGGGCATCAGATCCGGGAGGCCCACTGAAGGTGCCAGAGTGAGCCGTGGCCGGAAGCGAGCCTCGCCGCCCACACCGTCAGGGGCCCAGCAGGCTGTGGCAGGAGCCAGACACGCTGCTGATGGACTCAGCACCGCTGCAGACTGGGAGGCCGCAGGCTGGCGTTGAGGGCGCAGCCATGGCCTCCGGACCCAGGCAGACCCGTGCGCGTATCTGAGTTCTCCCTCACTGCCGGAGAGCTGTAGCCTGATGCCTCGAGCAAGTAACTTCCTGCTCGGGACCTCAGCTCCGTAGTCTACAAAGTGAGGATAAGGCCTGCTTCAAGGTTAGCTGAGGGTTAGACCCAGCACGTGCCGAACAGAGTGCTGAGCACCCAGAAGGCTCTCCATAAGTGGTAACTGTTAGGACCGTGGGCAATGAGAGGACTCACGGGGCACGGCCTTTCCTGGGTGCCCCTGCTGGTCGGTGGAGAAGACGGTGCGTCAGCCTTCAGCCTTGGTAGCCCCCACGAGGGCTCTGGCTGCTGGCTGGAGGGACACCGGCGGCTTAGGAGAGTTCTCAGGCTCTGCACACAAGGGCAAGATCCTTGGAAATGAACAGTGTATTAATTTAGATATTTACCCATTTCAGAGTTTAGCCAGAGATTGAGGCCAGAACTCTGTTTTTTATATGATCCCCTTTCAAAATGTTCTTTAGCTCTTTATACTTTGGCTCTTGATAGTTCATCCATCCTTTCTCATTCATTCATTCATTCATGTACCCATTCTTTCATTCAGTCGCTATTTCCCAAGCCTCTGCTGTGTGCCAGAGACCATGCCGGGCCCTGGGGATACAGCGAGCAGGCCCTCGTGGTCTCAGCGCCCAGGAGTTTATAGACTAGTCTCACTACCAGTCATCAGCCGGCACTCACTGGGGCCGTGTGACTCCCACCATCCCGCTCGACCCAGCTTCTAGAGCCACTGAGCCTCCAACTCCCTTAGAGTACATACTCGCCATCTAGCAGCAAAGCCTTCAACACAAGTGCCATCTTTGCTTATTCTACATCAGCCGGAGATAGAACAGGAAGCGCCTGGTGTGAGAGCGTGTGGTCACCACCTTGCCACTGGGAGAGCGTGACCAGCATATCCAGGTTGCGGGGTCCGCTGTGCTTCGGGCTTGTGCCCAAAGCATCTTAGGGCGGAAGCGTAGGAGAGGGGCCGAGGGGAGAAGAGCGATCCAGATGACCCAACAGAACTTGTCTTACCTTTCCAGGTCAGATATTTGTGGTAGCTTTGTGTTTGATTTGGAAGACGACAAGTTTTCAGAACAGCAGAAACACTGTCATTCAGACTCCATGCTAATACATGTGCCAGACAAATAGGGATGGTTTGGGGACTATTTCCTATGGTGGCTTATTTTTTGACTGCAACTCTCAGTGAAGTTAGATAATTGCAAGGAGACTATAGTCTCATTTATCTGAACATAATCAAGACATGAAATGGGGTGCTTCGTTGAGCCCTGAGATTCCATTAGGTCACACCACAGAGGGAAGCCATAGTTGCAGTGAAGGGACACTAGTAATTTTGGGGTGCCTACTGGGTGGCAAACACGGTACAAAATGCTTGGCACAGGTGAAGGAAGTCAGTCCTCACAGCAGCCCTTCAGAGTAGTTGCTATAGTCCCCCGTTTTATAGGTCAGAAAACAAAGGCTCACAGAACTGAAGGGACTTGCCCAGCATCCAGGTTAGGTAAGTGGCAGGCCTGGGTTTGGCCTCCTTTCTGGTTGGCTCCAAAGCCTGTCCCCACACACCGTGTTGGTTTTGTTTCATGGAGGGCCGTTTCCTACAGACTCACGCCAAAGCCTGTGGGAAGAAGGAAGGAGAAAGGAGTAAGTGCTGAGGCAGTGTGGATTATGGTTTTCCTAAGTGGACCAAGCCACACAGCTCCTCTTCCCAAATGGTCCCTTCCCTGGTTGGGCAGAAGAGCTGCTTGGCGTAATACAGTGGATAATGTGTTTCAGCGTAGGCCCTGGAAAATGTAGCCTCGGTTGAGCAGATCGGAAATGGCCATTCCAGCCATCCTGTAACAGTATGGAAGTGAGCAGAAGCTGGGGGAGGGGGGCCTGCTCACAGCACTCCTTGTACTAAATCCTCTGGTGCTTTGTGATTCCATGCAGGCTGGGGTGCGCCGGTGCAGAGTCGCCAAGGGCCCTCCCCTCTCAGTCTGCACGTGTCCATATCATTGAGCACAGAGAGCCTCCTACCAGAGGTTTTGCATTACCTGGAACAGGATTCTGTACTTCGGCATTTCACCCACTACTCTTCCAAACTGGGAGAGGGGGGGAGCTTCTCCAAAGGAATCTGCCACATCGCTTGTGCTGTTTCCCCCATACCCTCTAGGATTATTAGAAAGAAAAAAAAAAGTTCTGGAAATGAGCTGCCACGTCAATAGCACTTGAGCAGATTTGCTCACTAATCTCCATTTTTCCGGAAGAGTAAAAAAAATTTTTTTAAAAAATCAAACATTTTAGCCAACTTTATTTTTAGAAAAGTATTTTATTCAAACATCGCCTTACTTATTACAGACATAAATACATGCATTCAGACAAATGAATCCACGGGAGAACCGTATAAAGTAATTGGCACATCACTTCAGGATGCTTTGTCAGTTACTGGAGGAGTTTGGTGCCTCTAACTTTAATCTTTTCCATTAAAATATCCATTCTGCCTTCAGATTGTGAAGCCCATAATATTTTAGACTGTCTCCATAGATCTGTTAGTTTTGCTTGTCAGTTTAATTTGTGGCTCTATGACTTTGGGTGGCTTGTCAGATTGTACATGGAAGCATGTAATCTACAAGTGATGTTCAGCATGCCAGGCTTGAGACCTCGCCTCTCCCCAGAGAGACTGGACATACAGTAAGTGTGGAATTGGCCGGTTTCATCTACAAGTAGCCTGTTAGGATGACGATGATGATGTATGGGATGGCAGATGTTTCGGACTACAGAGATGCTCATTACTGCTGTTATCATATACCTTAAGCATTTATGGCACGTTTTCCTCTCTGCAACACTTTTTATATCCACCATCTCATTTGATTCTCAGAGCTTTCTTGGGCTAGATTATTATTTCCATCTTGATAGCTAATGAAACTGACACAGGAACTGGCCTGAGATCGCCAAGCAGATTGGATTGCAGAAGTGCAGGGGACGAGAGTCGACGCCACCAGAGCCCAGTCGGGGGTCACGTGGGTGGTAGCTTGGCCACATAACTGCCATTTCCCCTGTGCTCCTTGGGGCACAGGAGCTCAGGGGCTGTGGAAATGGAAGGACTAGAGATGCCAAGGAAAGGCAAGTGTACCATCAGCTGAACGCAGGGGAGCAAAGCTTGTTTCCCTGCCACTTGCCCAGAGTAGTGCAGAAACCCCAACCCTGGCTTTCCTCCTTTAATGTCACCACAACTGCACGCATTCTACTTGTCCCCAGAGGGATCTTGCTTAAATGCAGATCTGAGCATGTCTCTCCTTTGCCACAAACCCATCACAGGCTGTCCCTTCATCACGATGAAGTCCAGGCTCCCCAGCATGGTCTACCAGCCTGGCCCTGGGGTCTGGCTTCTCTGGCCCCCGTCTCTTCTCTCCTGTCACACTCAGTTCTTTCCCAACCTCCTTTTGCACTGCTTTCTCTGCCCAGAACACATTTATGATGCTGTCCTTAAACTGAACCCTCTCTGTGGAATCTTCCCTACCTTCTCCCCAAAGACCCAGGAGCATCCCTCCCTCCTCTGCTAGCCCACTGCACTTGGCCCAGCCCTATTTCTGACTATCTGTCTGCTCTGTGCCCTGCCCCAAGAAGCTTCTAGCTCCTCCAGGGCACAGGTCACGGTAGATGCCTGTTCTCTGACCTCTCTTAGGTGTCTTACAGACTTTGAATTTAAGAGGATACATTTGTATGTACATGTAAAAGTGAAGCGAGTGAGTGAACTAGTGAATGAAGAACAAATGAGCCTGAGCCAGCAGGAAACAGGACCTTCCAAGGTCGCATGGAATGTGTCCCGTTTCTCCCTCTCTCTGAGAGATGCTCCCCCTCCATAACTTGACCTCTAGTGAAATGAGAGACAGGAAGGAAGGTGAGCTGGGCTTCTATCTGGCCGCTTGCATGGAGGAAAGCATACCAGGGTTGAGAGGCAGAGACTGATCCTCTTAGCTCTGTAACCTCTGATTTCTGCCCACCCAGAAGGTTCTCACTGAAGCCTTTGGTGGTAGAAACTCTTCCTCAGGGCACTGGGAGTCTTGGCCAAGAGTTCCAGCCTGCAGCATTATAGGCTTGCAGAGTCAAAGCTCTTTGTCCAGGAAGAGCCCTCATGGCTGTTGGCACGACGTAGGGGTAGAAGGTGAGCACATGACAGGCCTGGGATTGGGGGGACCTCTGAGCCAAGGTCTTATTTGACTCTGTCTTCTAGATGATGTCTGTCCTCATGAACACCATTGTCTTTGAAGACTGTCGGAACCAGTGGTCAGTATCCAGGCCTCTCCTGGGGCTCATCCTGCTCAACGAGAAGGTGAGTGTGATCGCAGTAAGGTCCACAGGAGGTGGTCCCTGGGAGGAGGGAGAAGCTGTACGCCAGGCCGAGCTGTGACAAGAAGAACAGAAGGAACAACGGAGCTTGAGCTGGAACCTTGAACACTCTGGGGCAAGGCCATATTCCCCCAGAAGGCCCTTCCCCAAAGGCCTCAGATCTCCCTCAGGTAAGTGAAGACCTCAAGACCAGCTCTTCTGGAACCCGGAGCCCCCACACGTCGGGCAGGTGGTTTGCTCAGTAATGCTTCAAGCTCACCCTCATTCCCCTACCCCGTTTCCTGTGGAATTCCGAGCTACAGCTCTTTGCTCCTCTTGTATTTTGGGATCCTCACTGCCCTATGTGGTCGTCGTCCTTTCAGGGACTCGCTGCGGAGCCAGCACCCTCCATCTGAGAGCCCAAGGCTCCAGCTCGTAAGTGCACTCACCACCCGGGGCGGCCTCCCAGGCCCTCCAGCTTCCTCCTGGACGCACCCCTCGTCCCCCTGGCAGTCGGCAGGAACAGTGCATTACTGCTCGGGAGAATGAATTGTCTATACAGTAAGATGGTACTGGGGAGAAAGACAGTGAGATCAGAGGCAGCCGCATACATTAAAATTCAAACTGAAATCCCAGCCTTGGAAGGAAACTAATAGAAGAAGAAAATGTATCAAAAAGAGAAGCGCTGCCTCATCATTCACCTGTGCTGAAGTATCCAATTTTAGCCACATTCATAGCACTGTCATTCATCTTCCCTCGGTGTTATTGTGATTTAAATCCAAGCTCTATAAAAGAGAGCAGTTCTTTTAAAATGATTGAGAGGGAATAAGGGCAAATTCAGTGTTTAGAAAAAGCTTATGACATCACAATATTATACTTTACTGATGGAGGCAATATTTCATGGTTGGGGATGAAAAACTAATAATTTTCTCTTTGGTGTGAGTCACTGCATCATTATAAAAGGGAAAAATAAGTAGTTTTGTGCATGCCCAATCTTGTTCAGGAAGACATTGTGGTTTAAGTGTAATACCTCTGATATATAGTATTTAAGTATTAGTCTGACTACATATTAATTATGTGTGTTTTTGATGTGGGCTGTTTTAATGTATGATGGAAATTAAATACCATGCTGTTTGGGCTTGGAAGGATAAACACATGACTGGCAAAATGTTGTCTTTGTGCTGAAATTAAGCTGTTTCCAGTGATGAGGAGCTGTGGGTCGTGTGAGAGCTTGTGTGTGGGTAGAAGCCTGCAGACCCCAGCAGAGGAGAGGGGCTGTGCAGCTCTTTGGGACCAGGCATGACAGGTGTATTTCTTAGTGCAGGAAGGCCCTCCCAGAACGAAGCAAGTCCCCTTAGGACCCCGCCTCAGCGGCAGGGCAGACCCAGCCTGAGCCAGCGGACAGGGACTCGGGACAAAGTCCGGGGTTGTGTGAGGACTCAGTCACTAAAGCCATGGATGATGCTGCAGCCTGAGAGGGGACCCTGAGCCTTTCCTCCAGTCACCCCGAGTTCTCCCTGTTAAGTTCTTCCCCTCTGCCTCAGAAGGGAAGAGGCCCTTCCTCTTTCAGCCTTTCTGTGATGAGTGGAGGTGAGAGTCAGGAAGACCTTCACACACTTGGTCCCCCACAGAGGACCTAAATTGTTCAGTGATGGTAGAACAATTATCACAAGAGATCTTTATGAGAAGGGATAATACAGTTCATACCTCGGAATGTATCTATTGCCTTGGCTTAAAGTTCAAAGTGGTCCTGGACCGAAGCTCCTTTGAGAGTGAGGAGCACTGAGCGGATGGAGCAGATCGAGACCCTCCCCCACAGCTCTCTCGGGGCCCAGGTTTGGCGTCAGGGCCCTGAGGCTGTTCTGTCTCCCCACAGTATTTTAGTGAACTGAGGGCAAGCCTGATAAACAGCCAGCCTGTCCCCAAGCAGGAGGTCCTTGCCCAGTGCTTCAGGAACCTGATGGAAGGAGTGGAGCAGAACCTGTCCATCAAGAACAGAGACAGGTAAGCACTGCCCAGTAAGCTCAACATCTCTGGCTTATGGAAAATAACTGGATCGTGCTTAACACAGTTCACATATTGATGTGACTTAGACTCAATTTCTTTCCATCCAATAAATATTACTAGGTACTCGCTTTAAAAAAAAAAAAATTATTTATTTATTTATTTGACACAGACAGAGAGAGAGAGCACAAGTGGGGGTGGGGGAGGAGAGGGAGAAGCAGGGAGCCTGATGCAGGACTCAATCCCAGAGCCCTGGGATCATGACCTGAGCTGAGGGCAGACGCTTAACCGACTGAGCCACCCAGACGCCCCATTTGCTTTTTTTTAAGCACCACGCTAGGCACTACATAGGGATGCAGAGATGAATAAAATGCAGCCTGTACCCTTATGTACTCTATAACCCAACAGAAGATATGAAAAATAACTCACTGAAAAGGTCAAAAGAAGGAAAGCTCAGATCTGCTATGAAGGACGAGGGAAGGCTTCCCGGCATTTGAACAAGCACAGGCTTTGAGGTTAGCCGGACTCCAGTTTAAATTTTATCCCTGCCTTCTACAGGCTGTGTGGCAGTGAGTAAGGCAGTCAACTGCTCTGATCCTCAGTTTTCTCACCAACAAAATTGGTTGTGATATTGAAATGACAGAATGTTGTAAAGCATGGTCCCTAGGACAAAGGAGCCATAGTAATAAACATTAGTCCCTTCCTCTGCCCAACCTTTAAGAGTGGCTGGTTTTACAAAAGTTGCCAATGAGATCTAAATGAAAGGAACCCAGACTTATCGGGTATGCTTTCATCCATTCATTTATTTAGAGCAGAAAATTTTATTGAGCATCTACTATGTGCCAGGCATTGAGGATACCAGTGGTGAACTAATTGGTCAAGGTTTTTGCCTCACAGAGCTTCTAATGGAGGAAACAGACCATAATGAACAACGTAGAAAGAAATTGTTTTTCGGGGAGTGGGGGGTGGAAGGGACTGCCTGCACAATCCTTTTATAAAAGTGGTAACATTCAGATGCTTCACCATTTGAAATGCGAGTCATCAATCATCCCAAAACCACAGCAGCGTGTGGTGGAGTCACCAGTCTGGGCTCTGGCAATAGAAGGCCAAGTCGGGTAGGCTCTGCAAACACACGCTTGTCTGCTCATCCCGTGCCACGATCCTCTGGCAGGAGGAAGAGACTGAATGAATGGGGACACCGCAGGTGCCTGTTGTGGGGGAGATTGCATCACTTGAGGCTTGGGAATTTGAGTACCCCCTCCTGAGCTGCTCTGTGAAATGATGCCAGACAGTCCTCCCGTTTAAGAGAGTACAAATGCTTTCCGTGTGCCGTGCACTAGGTTGAGTACTTATGGGCATTGTCTAAATTGATTCAGTAAATTCTCACTTCCCACAATCCCGTGAAGTAGCTACTCCAGTTGAGCACCAAGACAAGAGGTTAAGTGTTCATCCACAATCACCCCGCTAAGAAGTGGTGGAGTCAGGATTCGAACCCAGGTAATCTAGCCTGGTTTTCTCATCTGCAAAATGAGGATACGAATACCTGCCTTTGGGAAGACTTGTGATGCTTAGGTGAATTTATATGTAAACTCAACCCAGTGCCTGGCACATAAACTTTGAATCATTTCTTTATATTCCTTACCATCTGTGTGTAATTTGACTCTTAAGAACAGTTTTTAAATAGTACACCCACCAAATGTGCCCCTCACAGTGGTCCAGGTATATCTGGTGGTAAGCCTTGTTTTCCGGGAGGGGAAGGAGGGAGGGGGTGTTGGTGGCAGAACAGTCGTGGGGCAGTGGAGGTGGGAGGCGGGAGGGAGGCGGGAGCTGGGCCAGGATCTGGGGCTCTCTCCAAGGTCCTGAGCTTCCGCAGTGGCTTTATCATCCAGAGGCTCACACCACCTCGGCCTTGCCACTGCCCCCCGCCTTTCTTCCTTTCTCCCCAGGTTCACCCAGAACCTGTCCGTCTTCAGAAGAGACGTGGCAGAGGCGCTGCGCAGTGACGGCAGCACCGAGCCGTGCAGTCTGGACATGATGAGCTGACCGCCTCCCCCGACCACGTGCCGAGCAGCCTTTACCGAGAGACTCTTGTGCGTCTGGGTCCCAGGACAGTGATGTTGGCAAGCCCAGGAGAATCTATTTTTCAAAACGAACAACAACAAAATCTCTACCTTTTTATAAGTCTGGCCTAATTATAAGAATTTATAATAGTGCACAAACAATGTAAATTCAGTCTTGGCTCTGAGAAAGCAAAAGATGGGTTTTCAGTCTTTCTATAAAATACCATTATCTTTGTTCTTATAATGCTCCAAAAGGGTGTAGAAACAATATTTAACCAAAGAACTTAATAAACCAGGTTTGAACCTAAGCCTGTACTAGTTGATGGTCCTCTGTAATCAAGGTGGTGAATGTCTTGGAGCTACAGCCTTCAACGTGGATCCTGAGTTGAGACAAATACCATTTGAACCCGTTAAGTTAGTAGTTTGTTACGAGTCTGGAAGAGGCAGCGTTGGGGTCTCTGAGCTGTGGGCCTTTAGAACGAGCCTGGGAGCACTCCAGAGCATCCCACAGGACTGCGCACAGCCCTCCTGGCCTCAGCAGCATCTGATAAAGTTGAGAGACAGTAACACAATTAAATGACTTACAAACAACGTTTGCTTTTCACTGGCATAGACATGAAGTGGTTCAGTCTAGAAGGATTAAGCCGTGCAGTTACCGGCTGCAGAGCTATTCCCTCCGAAGGCGTCGGGCAGCCCCTGCAAGAGGCGCTGGGCGGGGCGGCACCCAGTCCTTCCGCCTCCATCTACCAAGGTGCCTAGTTATCATATATATTCGAAGCGGCCCCGCCTCCTGGGACCACACAAAACAGTGCTAGGTGCTAAAGTGCAGATTTTCAGAGGACGAAGAACAGCTGGTTTCCATCCCTTCACAAAAACTCTTACTACCGTGGGGGTTGTAACTTAACCCAAACCCCAGGACGTGAATGAAGGAGGCCTTTCCAGTTTGTGGTAGACCATAACTAGGCTATTAATTTGAGACTGCCCCTGTCATACAGCCTTTGTATCTCACTGCTCTGTCCTCATGGTTCAGGCTTGTAGTAAATATCGTGCCCTTTATTGCTAATAAGACATGAAACGTTGGCCTGACTGGTGAAGAAGAAGTAAATCCACAGGCTCCTGTTATAATTGCGTTTCCCAGACTAGTGTTTCTTGAAACCTTTCTTGATAGTTGAGTTTAGCAACGGGCTTGTCACATCAAAAGCAAAGTCACCCAAGCTTATCTCAAAATGTTTCTCTTTTGTACGTGAGGCCAGGAAATCAGGGAAATGTGTGTTACAGAGAGGGTTGCTTCTGGTATTCCGTGGATAAGCAAGCCTTGGCCTTACGCTCTACTTCATTAGCAATGGGAAATGTGATTTTCCTTGAGAAGGCAAACTTTAAACTTTATAAAACATAACTATTGGAAGAAGTCTGACTTGAGAATTTCTGTTTCTCATCCCACAAAAATGCTTTAAATGGCCTACCCCATTCTGACAGTCCTTTACAAAAGCATCACCCCGTCTGCGTTGAAATGCTCACAAGAAAATAACAGTGTGCCCTTGCTTTTCTTTGCCACACTGCCGAAGGTCACCTGGTGGTTTCACCCCAGCCAGGGAAGGCTCCATCAACCTTGGCCTTGGAGAGCTGCTCCCACAAGAGGACTTGTCAGGCCTGCCCCCACCGCCGACTGCAGCCTGCTCGTTGTCGTGGGGGGTGGGGGGGGTTCCAGAGCGCACTCGAGGCCGCACGCCAGCCAAGAGCAAACACAGCACACACTTAACAGAACACCTGCCATGCCCCTTACATGTGTTCTCTTCCTCGGTCCTCACAAGAGCCCTGCGAAGGGAGACAGCATTACTCCCACTCTAGATGAGGACACGAAGGCCCAAAGGTGGCACATAGCTTGCCCAGGCCACACAGGTGAGATCCGAACCCATGTCTCTCTCACCTCAAAGCAATTCCTGGTTTCTTCCAAGAAGACCTGTATTTCAGAACGGTGAGTTGAAACCAGTTAATATTTACATCCACTTCTATTTGTTTTTCTGAACTCTGTGGCTACATAACAAATTACCCCAAAATGTGGTGGCTTAGAACAACATTGATTCTCTCACAGTTTCTGAGGGTCAGAAATCTGTAGCTGGGTCATCTGCTTAAGGGTCTCTCACAGACTGCCATCAGTATTGTTGGCCAGGGCTCAGCTGGGGAAGGACTTGCTTCCACGCTCACTTGCAGTTAGGAGTCAGTTCCTCACGGACTGGCGGTCTGAGAGCCTCAGTGCCTTGCCCAATGGGCCTCTCCATAGGGCAGCACATAACATGGCATCTTGCTTTGTCACAGCGAGCAAAAGAGAGAAGAGACAGTGCTGCAGTCTGGAAGTCCAGCCTCTGAGCTAATCTCAAAGGGAGCATCCCATCGCTTCTGCTGTATTCTGTGAGAAGTAACTCACCGGGACCAGCCCATACCCGAGGGGAGGGGTTACACAAGGGCATGAATACCCGGAGGCAGGGTTCTGCGGAAACCATTTTCAAAGATGCCTGCCACAGCTCTCTACCCAGTCTTTGCTGGAGAGGTTGAGTTTGGCTACCCGTTTCTCCCTAGACACCTGGAAAGGAATCCTGATTTTCTTTGGAGGGCTAAGTTCCATTCTGTGCCCTAAGGATGAAAAGGGGGTAGGGAAGCTGGGATGTTTCAACAGCACATTATACTGCACGTTCCACCCCCAACAGAAGCTGTGTGGGAACCGCGCCCCCACCCACAACCTGTCCCAGGAAGGGATAGTGGGGACTCCTGGGCAAAAAGTTCTCCGGAGAGACACCCAAACTGTGGAATCTACGCAAAAGAACCAGGTGGATCTGTTATGTGCTCGAATGCGATCACAAGTGTATGTAACACATTCAGCAACAGGAAGAAATAAACAGCGCGGGCAGCTCTGTGGGGCCAGAGTGAGGGTGAGGCAGGAGGTGCGAGCCAGGCTGGGGCACCTCGTTCTCCAGAGGAGTCTGCTGTGCAAACGTGCCGGGGGGGGGGGGTGGCCTCTAAATCTAGCCAACTGCCCCAGCTGATACTCGAGCAAGAAACAGTGTGAAGGTGTTTTGACTTTGCTCAATGTTTGCATTCCACACTGACTTAAGAACCTGACCCTGAGAAAGCTGTATCCTGCTTGTGTTCTAGATGTTTCCATTTTTCTGGGCTTTCCATTCAGGCTTCTCTTGGGAGGGGGGGGCGGGTAGAGATGAGGGAGCGTGATGTCCCTGCACCATGTGATGATTCCCAACTGCCCAGAAAAGCCCTCTCAGCCCCTAGACTCCCCAGACTCACTTCCACTGGCCCTGCCAACCTGCAAGTGCTGTTGGGTTATGGTACTGGAGGTCTCTTTCAGCATGCAAAACAGGCCTGGCGTATAGCCACCAACTGAGACCCTTGACAATTAGTTACCCACCAACAGAGAGTTGAGCATGAGAACAAATAGGATAGTCTGGTTGAGAGAAATTGGCGAAAGTGAAAAATCTGGCATAGGGGAACCCTATCTAGATGGAGGCTAGTCCAGCGGTTGGGGGGCGGTAGCATCTGGGAGAACTCAGCCCCATACAGTGAGGAGGGAAAGAGCACCTGGAGAGGAGAGCAAGGTGAGTAGAAAGGGAGAAAGTAACAGCTTCAAGGCGGAAGTTAAATAATAACAGTCACTATATCATTTATCGAGCACCCCCTGAGCACTGCAAAATTGCCATCTCATTTAAATCTAATGTTTCCCAATAAGAATGTCAAGTAAGCAGTAGTATCCCCATTTTAGAGATGAGAACACTGAGGCTGGAAGACTAACCCAAGGCCACAAAGCTAAAAAGTGGACAAGCTGGGATTCAAAGTCAGGTCAGCCAGACTCCAGAACTCATGCTTCTTTTCCTCTCTCACCCCTGAAGCTGGGTACTTCACCAGGGACAGTGGGTGGGGAGGTGGACCCGGAACCCTCCATGACCCCCAACTGAAGCTGGACACTCTCAGAGAAAGGCCAGTCCAACACCTGGGCTCCTTGAGTGCTGTGTCGATGGCTTCTGCCACCGATTCATCCTCCTCCCTGAAATTTATAAAATCATCCTTGAGACCTTTTAATGTTTTATTGAGGTGCAAGTTTACGATGACAGCAAACCTTTCAAACTACAGCAAGAGTAACCTGCCTCCTTGGCATATTAAAAAATAATGGTGGTGTCGGTTTTTACGTCCCATAGTTTGGATTGCTGATAAGAGCGCTTCCTTGACAAGATTCTTTTTGAGGTTTACAGAAAGCGTAATAAAATATGTAAGTTACATTTCCACAAACAAAAGCTATAACATAAGTTATTTATAAGCGTGAGATACAAACAGTATCACGATAAATAAACCATAAAGGGTACCTGCAACATCCATCTTAATGTAATTTGCCCAACCAAAGTGTTGAAACGAAGTCAAATTTACTCGAGAAATCTGTCAGGAAGAGAGGAAAGTTGTAGATGAAATGGAGAAAATGGCTGCTGGGCGGTGGAGGGAAAGAGCAGGGCATGAGGTCAGGGGTGGGGGTACCTCAGAAGGCCCCCACACAGGGCTGCCCTCGGTGCCCGTCCTCGCCCCCCTGCGCCTGAGGGCACTGGCCAGTCCCTGCCCCCCTGCACATGCGGCCGTCTGCACACGGTCCCTGCTCACACGCCCCTCCGCAGCCTCCAGCAGCCCCTCTCCCTTCCTGTCTCAGACGCACCCTCTGTCCTACCCCCAGCCCCACGGCCAGCGTCTTCATGTGGCTGCCGGCCCGCCCTGCCAGGCTGGGCCCTCCTCCAGGCCAGGGCCCCGGTTGGACTCAGCACAAAGATCCTGGGAGTCATTCATTGCTCCACCATAGATAAAGCCGTGAATGAGACAAAGTCTCTGCCTTCAGAGAGCCACTGAGCAGGATAAATAAGAGGGGTCCCGCAGGTGATGGAGGCAATGATGAAAATAAACAGGGATGGAGAGTGACAGGGGAGGGGGGCTGCTTTGGAGGGTGCTGGACTGTGCACAGACCTGGACGAACTCGGATCCCTTTTCCTCTCCACTCGTCTGACCTTGCTGTGTGCTCTTCAGTTAAGCACCACAAACTCATGATGATCCTCCAACGGCCCCAGCCCCAAGACATGGAATCAAATGCCGCCAACACTGTTCTGTCCTGAAGGAACTCTCAGGCCAGTGGGGGTTGTGGGGGGGGACAGAAGTGAGCCCCTCCATGGCCAGCCCTCACCCCTGCTCCTGAGCTCCTTCCCCCAGCTCCTCCACGGATTTCCCCTCCCCACTCAGTCCTGTGCCTTGGAGCCTTACCACCTGCTCCCAGAGTAGAAACGGGAGTATGGGGTAAAGGGAAAAGCATGGGCTCTGGAGTCAAGACAGTCCTGGGTTCAGATCCCAGCTCCAGCCTTCCCAGCTGCATGCCCCTGGACTTCACTTCCCTAAGCCGACTGTCCTTCGAGTCTCACGACCTGTGCTGGGGAGGCACAAAGAGCACATAGTACCAGGTGGCCTCTGCCTTCCTCCAGCTGGCAGAATCTTGGGCCCTTGAAGGCCTCCTCTGGAAGGTTCTTCCCCTAGTATCCCCATCATGGGAAGGCAGCAATGAAGAGCTTAAACTGCCTTACTCCCACTATCAGATGGGGAAACTGAAGCCCAAAGTTGGGACTTGGGCCAGAAACGTGCGTAAGTGCTCAGCACATAGGTGTTGAATAAGTGGATGAATGAGTGAAGACATCCGGGCAGGTGTCTTGGGAGCCTTCCCTCCTGAGAACTGCCAGTGCCCCTGGAGACTTCTTACTAGGGTGTGCGGACCAAGAATGGAAGGTGGACAGGTAAGCAGCCTGCGTCACGGTACATGTGCCAAATTATGTGTTTGTTTCTTTGTCTATGGAGGTGGTCCTCCATCCTTTCATCAGTCTTTCAAATAGGATTACAGACCCAGACATGTGTAAGAGCCCCGATTCAATCTCTACCCCATTTCATGGGTAGGGAAATGGAGTCCAACTCGCAGAAGAGGTCGGTGGCAGAGCGGGACTGGACTAAGCCGGCCTCCTGCCCACGGGCAGTTGGGCATTCCAACATCCTGTCTCCCATCCCTGAAGCCACCCCTCCCTCGTCTATGTCTCCCAGCAAGGCCCCCAGCAGTCCTTCCCTTCCTCCCAGCTTCTCCATGGGGAAAAATGCACGATGCGCCGCATCCTGGAAATCTTTCTGGCCCCCACGACCGCGGGATCTTAGAATTTTCATTTTCTGATCTCCCTTCTGGTGCGTGTGCGTGTGTGTCTGTCACTGTTCAGTTGATAGCAGGCAGGAAGGGACAGCAAAAAATTACAATCTCAGGAACACCAAATGCGCATCAGAATGCATTTGGGCAAAAAGGGCTTAGAGGTAAATGTATGACCTTAAATATATTTATAAAAAAACAAGAAATATTGATAAATATTAACTAAATTTTCACCTCAACAAACCAAGAGGAAAATAATTAATAAAAATAAAACATTCCTCAAAGAGATGGCATAAAAAAGAAGGAACTAAAAGTCTTCTAAGACCCTATTATAAAATAGACAAACCTTGGGGCGCCTGGGTGGCTCAGATGGTTAAGCATCTGCCTTCGGCTCAGGTCATGATCCCAGGGTCCTGGGATCGAGCCCCACATCGGGCTCCTGGCTCAGCCGGGAGTCTGCTTCCCCCTCTCCCTTTGCCTCTCCCACTGCTCATGCTCTCTCTCTCTGTATCTCTGTGTCTCAAATGAATAAATAAAATCTTTAAAAAAAAAAAAAAAGACTCACTTTAAAAAAAAAATAGACAAACCTTTGGTAAATATGATAAGAGAAGGCACAGCTGAGTAACACTGAGAATAAAGAGTAGAGGACATTAGCTCAGATTCGCAGGAGAGTTTGGAACTATGAGAGCATCTTCCCACAACATTGTAACAATGAATTTGAAAACTTGGATGAAACGGACACTCTTCTGGGCACCGGCTGCCAAATGTGAGCGATCATCAGAATCACCTGGAGGGCTTGTGAAAGCAGATTGCCTAGCCCTACCCTGGAGTTTCAGATTCAGTAAGTCTGGGCTAGGGTCCAAGAATTTGCATTTCTAACAAATTCCCAGGTGCTGTTGCTGCTGCTGGTCTAGGCATATACTTTGAGAACCCCTGTCCCAGGGACTACTATCTGCCCCCATTTACGCCCCTTCCTGGGCTGACTAACAGCTCCGCTCTGTCTGGGCTGGAAAAGAGGGGTTTGTGATCAGTGGCCCAAGGCGCCTACTGCTGGAAGATGGTGAAACCCAGGCATCTCAGAAAGCTGGGACCCGGGGGTGGGGGGTGGGGGTGTGAGGCCGAGTTCTGTCCCATGCCTGGCACTGCTGGGTGTTTTCACTGGACGGGCTCATTTAATCCCACGACATTGGTGCTGTTGCTTTACAAGACTAGCAACTGAGGCACAAAAAGGATGAGCGATTTCCCAAGCCCACAGCTGGTAAACAGAGGTCAGAATCTGATCCTTACGCACTGGACCACTCATCGTGTGTGCCCTCGGGGCAGTGTTGGCCACACCACCCACTTCTCTTTAATTCTATGCCCACATACCTCTGTGGGGTGTGCCTTGTCATCCCAATTTAACAAAGCCGGGAAGTGGGGAGGACAGGCCTGTAACCTGGGGCTTGAGAAGCCAGAAAGGAAATTGATAGAGCTGGTCAGGTGCTTACCTGGCCCTGGAGAGGGGGGCTGAGAGCCGCGTGAACTCTCTGACCCAAAGTGCCCTCGTCAGGTAAAAAATGGGATCAATAACAGCCTTTCCTCACAGGGTTGTTGTGAGGAATAAGTACGTGCTCAGCCCCCTGCCTGGCACACACTAAGTTCTCAACCTACCGTGCTTCCACTGTTGTCTTTAAAGTTATTATTATATAATCCGGTTTCTCGCAGGCTTGTCCACAAACCTTATCTCATTTACTTCTCACAGCCACCCTGGGGATAGCTATTACCCTTCCTGTTTTACAAATAAGGAAAAGGAGGCTCCAGGAGAGGCAATGAGGGACCAAACAGCCCCAGACTACCAGTGGCAGAGTCTGATTTAGAAGCAGGAGGTCCCTAGCATGGGAGCAATGATGTCGGCTCCATTTGAAGGTCCTTGGATCCCCAAGGGAGCAAAGGAGGGCTCATCCCGGGCCCAGGGCCGGGCACGCTCCCTCCTCACCCTTCACTCTCCAGTAGCCTCATTCTCCCCACCCAGCCAGAGCCAGCGACTTGCCCAGGGTCACACAGCAGGACGGTGACCTGACTCAGGAACGCAGGCCTTAAGATTGCAAATCCTGAGGCCTCTTGGTCATTGGGGGCAGATTATTAGGAAGAAGCCCTAACATGCTCTCTCCTGCCCTTCCGGGTCCTCTGGGACTGATCCCACTGATAGACAAATACATTTTTCTCTTCAAGAGACTGAGACTCTGCAAACATAAAACTGCAAATAAATAAACAAGAATCATCAGAATAATACGTCAACCATCCCCTTGGGGGTGGGGGTGGGAGGGCAGCCCAGCAGCTCAGTGCCTACTATGTGTCAGGCCCTAAGCCCTGCGTTCTCTTAGTATCTCATTCAAGGCTTACTGACAATCCCGCAATGCACGCATTGCCCATTTTACAAACAAGAAAACCAAAGCCTAAACATAGGAAGTCACTTGCTCAAGCTCACCGAGCTAGAAAGTGACCAACCCAAATGTGAACACTCAGTTCTGGGTAACCATATCTCCAAGCTCTCACCACATCCCCAAGACAGGGTGAGAGTGAGAGGGGCCTGGCCAGGTGTGCAGCAGTCAGTTTGCACCTAACGATGTTAGAATTCGTGGGTAGACAACGATTCTGTTGTCTCCCTCCAGGGTAGACAGCCGAGGCTGGCGCTGGGGTGACCGCCCAGCGTTCGGTCCTGTCCTGTCCTGTCCACGGTGCCCCTGGCCGGCCTCGACAGTCCTTGAGGGCGTGAGCAGAGCAGGGAGGGAGTGGTCCCAGCGCCCAGGCTGGCCTGCAGCGGGAGGGACTCGCTGCTCCCGTTACCCAAAGAAATCCCGCTCTTTGCTCCAAAGATGAGCCGCCCCCGCGCCTCGCCCCTCGGGTACCCCAGGTCCCCACACCTGCAGTGCCATGGGCGGGTTCCCACTCGCGACCACAGTCCCCGTCCACCCTGCAACGAATTTCGAGGGCCTGGAGCCCCGCTCCCCAGCGGGCGACCCTGGGTCCCTAGACCAGCCGGGCCCCGCACGCGTGGGCACCTGCGAGTCACACCTCGGTCCGCCTGGCGGGGGCCAGGGAGTGTCTCCAAAGTGGCCCGGGCGGGGGCGAATTCTCCCCACGCGGGTCGGTGTCCTCGGGAGCGCGGAGCATGCTGTAGTGCTCCCCTCACCCCGCGCGCTGGGAGCGCGGAGCTTGCGCCGGGTGGTGCGCTCCTTTCGTTGCTCCCGTGGCGGTGGAGGGTCCAAGAGGCTTCCGCGGATTCCACAGGGTCGTTCCGGGCTTGCAACTCCATTGCAATTGAAAGGATTCGCATGGTTTGGTTTTTGCCCAGATGAAAAAATTTGGAAGAAAACGAAACCCCCCTCCGCAAACGACAATCTTACCAGCAGAGCACCCTGGCCCGCCCCGCGCTGTGGCCGGATAGCGGCCCCGGCCAGGAGGAGCGGGGAGCGTCTGCTAATTGCAGCTTCGTTAGATTTCGGGTTTGGGAGGCTGCGGTTCGGGCGCTAATATCCGCCGCCCATTATCCCGGCTAATAAATTTGACCTATTGTTCGTTTGTTAAAATGATGTCACCTTGGAACAGTCCCTAAGCTCCTATTTCCATGAATTAGGCCTTTATTGAAAGCCGGGAGCCAATGGGAGGAGAGAGGCTTGTTGATCGCAGCCAATGGCTGCGGCGGGAGAGGAATTAGCAGCGGAAACTCCAGGTTCGGTTCAAGAAAGATGACACAGAGCCTGTCGGGCCCGCGCACTCTTGGCAAAGTTTCAGTGCAACGAGAGGCGCCGGGCGCTCCATGGCCGCGCCGTAACAGGGACCCAGCCGCCTCCCCGCCCAGCCCAGCCCAGCCCTTCCGCCCGCCCAGGATGGAGGCGCCCGCCAGCGCGCAGACCCCGCACCCGCACGAGCCCATCAGCTTCGGCATCGACCAGATCCTCAACAGCCCGGACCAGGACAGCGCACCAGCCCCGCGGGGCCCCGACGGCGCCAGCTACCTGGGAGGGCCCCCCGGGGGCCGTCCGGGCGCCACATACCCGTCTCTACCCGCCTCCTTTGCCGGCCTGGGCGCGCCCTTCGAGGACCCGGGATCTTACAGTGTCAACCTGAGCCTGGCGCCCGCCGGCGTGATCCGAGTGCCAGCGCACAGGCCGCTGCCCGGGGCTGTGCCACCGCCTCTGCCTAGCGCGCTGCCCGCCATGCCCTCCGTGCCCACGGTCTCCAGCCTGGGCGGCCTCAATTTCCCCTGGATGGAGAGCAGCCGCCGGTTCGTGAAAGACCGCTTCACAGGTGAGCAGGGCCAGCGAACAGGCACCGGGCCTCGGCCCTCCCGGGGCCAGAGGCGCCGCGCCCTAGGTGCTCCACTCTGGGAAACGATTCCGGAGGCCCAAGCGCGTTGGAGGCCTCAGCGCCCGGGGCCCCGGGCAACCACAGGGGGAGGAAAATCAGGGAGTTTCGGGGAAATAAGCCTACGCCCAGGGGAAGAGGGGTAACTCCCGCCCGGCTTGGTGCCGCTGGGGACGCGAGGGACCAACGAAATAGCGGAGCACTCTGCGCCCCACCGGGCGGCACGGGGTCCGCATGGGGCCTGAACGGCAGTGGAGCCGGGCTGGGCTTCAGGGGGCCTCGTGTGTCTCCGCAGCGGCGGCGGCCCTCACGCCCTTCACCGTGACCCGGCGCATCGGCCACCCCTACCAGAACAGGACGCCGCCCAAGCGTAAGAAGCCGCGCACGTCCTTTTCTCGGGTGCAGATCTGCGAGCTGGAAAAGCGCTTCCACCGCCAGAAGTACCTGGCCTCGGCCGAGAGGGCGGCGCTCGCTAAGTCCCTCAAAATGACGGACGCGCAGGTCAAGACCTGGTTCCAAAACCGGAGGACCAAGTGGCGGTGAGAGAGGCCCGGCTCGGCCCATCTTGCACCCGCCCTTCACCCGCCCCGCGCCGCAGCCTCGCGCTCTCCCCATTCTGTGCTACCCGCTACCCGCCCTCCCAGGGCTGCGCCTCCCACGCTCCTTCCCAAATTTTATCTCCCTTCTCTCCTTCCCGCCGGCCTGCGTTTCTCTCTCCTCTCCCGCGCCTCGGCTTCTCCTCCATTCTCATCCCTGTGTCGCTCTCGTGCGCCTCTCCAACTCTCCGTGTTTTCTTCCGTCTCTGAGCTCTTTCGGTTTCCTCTCACCTGCACCTCCACCAGCAGCCGCGCCACCCACCCCCCACCCCGGGGTCTCTCGCACTCCCCTAATCCCTCCAGCTTGCGCTCTAGGAGTTCCGACAGTCCGCGCGGGCTCCATGTTCCCCCTCTGGCTCCTCATCCTGACTCCAGCCCCGTTTTTATCCGATCCCTATTTCCATCCAACCCGTGAACGGCGAAGCGATCGCGTTTTGGAAGAGAGGTTCGAGAAGGGCCTGGGAGAACTGGATGAGGCTGACCCGGCCCAGGGACACGGCGCGGGCAGTTGCAGAGCCAGCCCTCCCACCCGCGGACCCTAGCGATCCGACTGTCCGCAGGGCCGAGTCAGTTACACACACGCCCTGTCCTTGTTATCCCGCAAAAGAAACATCTTTGTTGTTGGCGAAGCCACAATACCCGGACGTGCAGGTGGGCAGCGGGCTGAGTCCCCTCCCCGCGACCGCCCGACACTCAACAAAAACAAACGATGCCAACCCCCTCCCCGGACGCGCGGGCCTCGGGCGCACAGCGCCAGCAGGGGTGCAGACGGGTCCTGCGCCTCGAGGCTCCCGGCTGGCCTCCGCTCCCGGGAGGGCTGGGGCCCCGCCGGCAGCCCCGCAGTGCCGGGTGCATGACGGTGCTGTCCCTCTCCCTCCCCCGGTGCAGGCGGCAGACGGCGGAGGAGCGGGAGGCGGAGCGGCAGCAGGCGAGCCGGCTCATGCTGCAGCTGCAACACGACGCCTTCCAGAAGAGCCTCAACGACTCCATCCAGCCCGACCCTCTCTGTCTGCACAACTCGTCGCTCTTCGCTCTGCAGAATCTGCAGCCCTGGGAGGAGGACAGCTCCAAGGTCCCCGCCGTCACCTCTCTGGTGTGAGCCACCAGCGCGCACAGTCGCCAAGGATCGCCGCCCCCACCCGGCGGGGCGCCCCGGGCCCCCAGCCGGGCTGGGGGGGGACCCGAGGCCGAGAGGGACAGGGGCCTCCGAGCTCGAGTAGGCCCCGGGGCGCGGCCGCATCCCCGCCGGCCGCGGAGGGGGGCTGGGCCCGGGCTCCGCGCGGCTGCACAATCCGAGCCCCCGCCCCGCGCCCAGTCCCGCCCCAGGCCCGGGCCTGACAAAGAAAGCGCCTTACGTTTCTCCGCCCCTCGCCCGCACCCCCCGGGCCGGGCGCCTGTATTATACTTTGTACTTTTGCCCAAACGTGTAAATAATAAAAGTTTTGGCTTTTTTCTTTAGAAACCGGCCACCTGCTTCCCCCGCGGGGGCCGCTGGAGGAGGGGCGGCCGACCAGGTGGCTGGGGGGAGCGCCAGGGCTGGGGCACCCTGCGTTTAGGCTGGGCCCACTCCTCTCCTTTTCCGTTCCTTTTATTTAAGTCGTTTTATTTAATAAAAAAGTTAGCTATTTCACTTAACGCCGCTTTTATTTCGTTTTCGTTCCAATAATGCTCGGCGAGCCCGGCCCTGCGCCCCACCCCATCGGCGGTAGAGGCCGAGCCGCAGTGTACCCAGGGGCGCGTCCACGTCTCCAAGCTTCGTCGCTTTTCGCCTCAGCTCCAACCCCGGCCCGGGGCCCCGGGGAGGATCCGCGGTGCAGGTCAGTGCGTGCCGGCCGCTGGCAGTTTGGGTGCCGGCGGGGTGGGGCGGACATGGGAAGGGCACTCAAGGCCGAGAGGTCGAAGGTCGGCGCCAGGCAGGGTTGGGGATGAAAGCCCCACCCCACCCCCGGCGGGTACTTAGGTCGTCACAGGCCAGACCCACCTAGGGGGTGAAGGCACCGTGACCTCGAACTTCTAAGAACTCGGAGCCCTTCCCCTCCCCACCCCCAACCCCCTCCACAACCCACTGACCTCCTCTTTTTCCAGTGAGGCCTCAGGCCCTGGGCGGACCCAAGGACTGGCAATAGGGGATCTGGGCGCACTGTGGGCGGGCTGTGTGCACAGAACCGGCGCATGTCCTGGGTCTCCAAACGCTCGGTGTCTGAGGAGTAAGCGCGGGGCACAAACCCAGAACATCTGTACACTCTTGGTTTACGCGGGACCGCAGGTGGGGCGTGACGTCAAGCGACGTCACCGCAGACTGGCGGCGTCACTGTTCAGGAGAGGGGCGGGGCGCCCCGAAACCCTGGAATACCGAGCCCAGGTGTGAAAGCAGCGAGGCCCAGTCCACCCAGCTTTACCTCGGCTCGAAAGCTGGGAGTTTTGGGATCACGGGACGGGCGGTGGGTGGTCCCTTCCAACAAGACACACACTAGAAGCGTTCGTGAACATTTCCTCTTTCTCCCTCATTTTTTCCCCTTTTATTCGGTCTTTTAATTTTTTTCTTATTTTTGGCCTCTCCACGATGTTCTCTATTTTCTACTCTATTCGTTACTCTGGGTCTCCGTGCTACTGTAACTTTTGCTTTCCTTTACAGTTTTATGTTTCCCTATATAGTTCGTTCACTATTGCTTTTAGTTTCCCCGACTCTTTCTTTGTGGTATCCTGCCCCCCTTCTCTCTCCATTTCTCACTGTCCCGTCCTCTGTCTCTCTCGAGGTTTCTTTTCCTCCCTCTCTTCCTCCTTCCCTCCTCTCCTGTTTCCTTTTTGTTTTCTTGTTCTGCTCTCAGAATCTCTTCGCTTCTCTTTCTGTGTGTCTGTCTCTGCCACCCCCTCCTCCTGACCCGGCTCCCATTAGCTTCCTGAGGCGAAACAGTTCTGGGGCTGTCCCACAGGCCCTGGGGCCACCTCCCCCCCCCCCCCTCAGCACACCGCCTTCCCCCTGGCCAAGCGCCACCCTGCGGGCTCCGGGCTTTGGGCGCCTTCGTTCTACGCGGGCTGTGGGATCGTCTTCACTGGCAGGGCTCCAGAGACGGGAGGGAGTCTAAGAAACACAGGGGGAGCTCCCATGGTTGCTGCCTTCACCTCCACCTCCAAGCCCTACCCGCCCGGACTTATAGACACCCCCAGAGAGGAACTAGAGGGACTCAGACCTTCAGGTCTCTTTGGGGGGTGGTTTCTGGAAATGCTTCTCTTTTCTTCGCTAAAAAGCCCGATGAACACCCCTATCGGGATGGGAAACGTTGGCCTTCCGGCCGGGGACTTAAACATCTAAGAACGACCTTCTTTGCCTTTGCTGGCTGAGCACCTCCTCCCCGGGGACTGGCGTCGCTTTCCAATTTCCCTCACTTTTTTTTTCTTTTTCTCTAGAATAAGGCATAGTGGTTTTGTTTATCTAAATTATTTTTGTTGTTTTGCCAGGATGACCCTCAATTCTTGGGCCTTTTGGGGGAATACACACACGTCTTTTTCTTCCTTCCTAGTGCCTCTGGTCTCTGACCCGGAAGCCCACCCGGGGTCTGCGTTCAGCTGAGCCCCGGGATGGGGACCTACCTAGTCTTGCTTCGGCTCTCAGGGACGTCAGTATGTTTCCCCACCAGGTGCTTGCGGGGCTTTTGCCCTCTCTGAGCGCTTTGCCCCAACAAGCCTCGCCCAGCCAGAGACTAAGAGTCCCTCTGAGTTAGGGGGCTGAGCCCACTCGTGTGGGGCCGGGTCGCGACTGTGTCACGCCCATGCCCACCCAGAGCAGTGTGGGTGCCCCCAGGGGGTAGGACGGATTGCTGGGCGATGCGAGGTTGTTTAGTGCTGAACCCCCTCCTCCCGATGTGTAAGGCCTGGAGGTTGCCATTCCCACTGTGGCTGTGTGGGACTAGAGCCCCAGAACGCCCTGTTAAGGGTCACAGCTCCCACTCCCCACCCCCCGGAAGGCTGTGAGGCAGAGCGTGCAGAAACATCCAGATCAGGCAGCTGCCCCTAAAGCTGAGTGTAGGGGAGAGAGAATCTGGAATAGGCTGGGAAGCCCACATGGACGCTTTCTTGGCGATCCGCTCCCAATATTAGACCCCACCTCTGCCGGAGGAAGCGGCCCAGGCTCCAGAGGCAGCAGGTGCGTGTGGACGCTCAGCCCCACCATGGAGGGAATTAAGGACCAGAAGCAGTAGGCCTCTGGGTAAAGGCTGAAGACCCATTCGCCGCCCTTCCCCAGGGCCTTCTTTAGCCTCGGTTCAAGCGTCTTTAAAGCCGCGCCCATTTTACAGATGCAGAACTGGGAGGCAAGAGTCAGCTTGTCGGCCTTCGCGGACCGTTCTCGCGGGCACTCCTCGCGCGCTGGTTTTGGGCAGGCAGGGAGGTCTGGGCCCCAGGCGTCCGGCAAGAGGGGTGAGGCTGCCCTGCCCAGGGGCGAGGAGTTAGGCTGTGCTCAGCTTTCCCTGAGAGGCTCCAAAGCCGGTAGAGTCTGGGAGGACACGGCCGATCAGAGACAGACAGACAGACTTGCGCGTGCGCGCGCGCGCGCGCGCGCACACACACACACACACACTAGCTCTGGGGCCGGCTGCTCACTTCCCTCAAGTGGGAACGATTCCCCTTCAGCAGCAAGCAACCTATAGAGCACCGGCTGGGGACAGCGAGCTTTGCACGCAGTGTGGTTTACGATGACCCACACAACATTTCTGCAGGGTTTGGATGCCCCACACCACTTTGCAGTTGGAAAAATGAAGGCTCAGAGAAGTCCAGAAATTAGTTCTGGGTCGCGCGGCTGCAGCGGACCCGCGCTCTCGTTCTGCGCCCCCCCGCCCCAAACCAAGCGCTCTCTTTCTAGTACTTGGGAGGAAAGGGGGACTTGGCCTAGTGAGGGCTGGGGCGGCGGCCTAGGGTGCACCTGCAGGCACCCCGACCCGAGGCTCGGGGTTATCAGTGGAGCCGAAGGACCTTTCCACCCCGGTTGGGCGCTGGACTCCGCGCGTTCCAAGGCCGCCAGCGCCTCTCGCCTCCCAGGCTTGCGCACGTTTGCCCCCGGAGCCGGAGCGGGGAGACTTAGCCGCGGCCACTCCCAGCTCGGCGGTGAGACTCCCGAGGCCCCGCAGCGCTCCTGGGCTGGGCGACCTTCTCCTGCCTGCGGCGCTTCTCGAAAACCTGCGGCCTTGTCCAGGTCGGGCCGCCCGCCGTCTGCGCCTTTTCGGCGGCCGAGGCCGGTGCTGCAGAAGGCGCTGCGCGTCTGTTAGGCGGCGGTCTGGCTAGGCGCTGCGGCTTAGGGGCCTCAGAATATGGCCTCCCAACTCCCGCCGAGACCGCCAGGCCCAGGGTACGGCCTAGGCTGCGGCAGCGCTGAAGGTTCCTGGGAACCTTCGCCAAAATCTCATCCTCGGCCTCAGCGCAGCTGAAACACAGGGCGGCGGCGTGGTGCAGCCGCCTGCATTCTGGAGTGGTGAAGGGTTCTCGACCCTCAAGGCGGGTTTCCTAGTGGGAAAGCCGCCAGTAGCCGCGAGGCCCCACATTTGCAAGCATCCTGTCTGTTTTGAGCATCTTCTCTTAGCGACGCCCAGACCCAGTCGCACTTTCTTGTGGTTCAGAAACTCGCAAAATCCTCACGGACTTGCCACAGTGATCGGTGCCTTCCCTCTTACCACCCAGCCGCCAGTTGGACGAAGTTCTCCGCTCAGCTCCGTCACTCTCTTTCTGTATGGCCCTGAGCGAGTGGCTCTGACTCTTTGCGCTTTGGTTTCCGCATCTGTAAAATGAGGGCTATATAGTCACTAAGGAGTCTTCCAGGGAAAATAAAAACCCATGGCTTATAGTACAGCTGATTAGCAGCTTATTATGAGAATAAAAGCATTTTAAAAATATATTTATGGATAAGAAATCTAATTAAACGCCTACTAAGAATGTAGGTGTTTTAATCAGAGGTGTTGCTCTTAGAGAGGAAAGGGCAGGAATAGGGCAGTGTCCCCCAACTGCGGACATTCTGCCTGTCATCACTAAAGGTGGAGTCGTTGGCTGAGAAGTCATCCCGGAATTTGGGCCTGGCTCGATCGGTTAGAATGTCAGTATCCTGGTGTTACC